TTGGGAAGCAGAGGCAGGTAAATCTCTGAGTTTGAGGCTAGTCTGGTCTACAGAGTGAGTTCTGAAACAGCCAGGGTTACACAGAGAAGCCCTATCTCAGTGGGGGAAAAAGTAAATAAAAATGTAAGTACTACAGCCATTTATCCAAACATGTATGAATTTATATGCAAGGCAGATAAGACAGCTGAGAAACAATATGTTTTCTTTTCTTACATCTTCACATCTGATTACAGAACCGTTTTTTTTCCTAAACAAAGATACCATGAGCTCATAATTCTATCTAGTGCCACAAAAACTGGGAGAGAAAAATGTACTTATGCATAGACATAGATATGAATCAGTCAACAGTGTGCCTCATGACTCAAACGGCTCCCATCCCTTCCACGTAAGTTCTCTTAAATAAGACTTGTCTGTCTCATTTCTCGCTTCTACCTTCCCATGTAAGTGTGCCGATTAGTGACTAAGATGGCACCCTTTTGTAATATGCACCCTCTTTTATCCTCTATTTCAGTTAAACAGAGGAAAAATACTGTAAAATAAAGTATTTTTAAAACTAAGTTTTTGTTGGCATTACAGCTAAATAATTACATAAGAATTGCACATAAAATTAAGTTCTATACTGACTCAAAAGAAAAAAGAAAAAGAAGAAAAGAACATTAAAGAAAAAAAAGCCTATGAAGTCCTAATCATCCTGAGTGAGTTACCGAATTAAGCTCCTTTTCTGGAGGTAAAGAAACAGGCTGGTCCTACGAGATTCTGGAGCCCTCTGCCGTGTAGAAGACAAGGCTGGCCGCCCTCATCTCTGCAACTGAGAATGGTGTTCCCTGGAGGTTTCCCTGCAAGGCTGAGATGTGAGTAATGTTCAGTTACAGGGTTGCAGAGGTGAACCCGGGTTCATAAGATGAGTGTCTGTGTGGGCACGGGAGAGATTCCTCGGTGCCTAATGTTCAAGACCACTAGAAAACACCCACTGGAATTATTAATGCCTCTTCAGCTTTATGACTGTATTTCTCTGATTAACCCCGTAAATTAAACTGTTCTTAAAAAGATTGGTACATGTCTACATGAGAGTGTTAGAGAAGACAAAGGAAGAGGTTTCATTCGTGATACACTGTGCCAATTAGAGGCTTTCGTGAGGTGGACCAGCAGAAGCCGCACAGGAGAAAGGCCGATGGGCAGGCAAACCCTCACAGCATCACCAGGACGCCAGCTCACTGGTAGCTTTCTTTCCCTTCCAATCTGCGCTGAAGAATAGAGGGTCCCATTGCTTGCCTTTATCCTTGTTCCCTCCTCGGTGCTATTAGGAAGAACCGAGTTTGCAGGCAAGAGTTCTGGGGCCGCTTTCTTCTGTAGAGCTCTGCAGTGTGGCCAGAGACTGGGGGAAAACAAATGGGCTTGCTGAGTGACTGGCTTGGAACACTGTGTCCCTAGCCTCCGGGCTATGGCTCTAAACTTTAACCACGGGTGTGTGAATCTGATTGTCATAAATTTTGGAACACATCCCTCTGAAGAATATGCAAACTTCGGGTTTTACTTATTCTCCGTTGAAAATCTTGCTCGGGCTGCCGAATAATCCGCTACTGTGTTTTTGCAGACTTTCCCTAGAGTGTAGGCAATAAATTTAACACTACTAATTTTTTAAACAATTAAACGTTAGTAGCCTTCTTTTGTAATGATGGATTTGCTTAACACCCACTGTGCCATACTGTCGTAGGGTCTACTGTAGAGCAGGGAATAAAACTGACCGAGCAGCACAGAAGTGGTCTGCAGTGAGTCAGGTGGTTACAAGTGCTGTGGACAAAAATAACACAGGGAAAGGCAACCGGGTGGAGCTTATGGTTTGTTAAAGAAGGCTCCCTAAGTGGGTAACCTTTAACCAATGACCTGAAGCAGGGAAGGAGCCAGCTGTGGGCTTCGTGGGGCAACGACAGATCCGGTGAGAGAGACAGCTTGTGAGGATACTGTGTGCTTAATAAACACAGAAAGAGCAGGGAGACCAGGTGGCTGAGAAACGCAGGAGTAGCAGAGCAGCAGGAGATGGGGTCAGAGGTGCTGGCTGGACAGCAAGGCAGGCAGGCAGGCGCCTTGCACCTGGAGGCCACTGCAAGAGCTTGGCCTTTGTTCCGCGCGAGGTAGAAGAGCTATGGGCAGACGTGGCGCTTTATCTCTATGTCTCTGTATACTATGCTAGACAAGAAGGGAAAAGGGGCAGGGTGGACGCAGAGAGACAGGACACACTGCAGTGATCAAGGCGAGGGGTGGAGCGCATACGACTATGGCGGCAGTTGTGTGAAGAGAAGTGACCCATGAGTCCGGAAAGCAGTGCAAACAGTATTTGCTGATAGCTTGGATGTGGCGTCTGAAAGAATGAGAGGAGTTTAAACAGAGGCAAATTAAGTCACTAAGGTTCAGTATCTGAGCAACCACAAGATCAGCATTGCCACTATCTGAGTTGGCCAAGATGGCTTGTAGGGGAAAATCAGCATTTTCAGTTCAAAATGCCCCCTTATATCAAGTAAAAATACAGAATAGGCAATGGAAACGCAAGTCTAGTGTTCTGGGGAAAGTCTAAATTGAGTATGTATTTGAGGGTTCACCTACAGCTCAGTGAAAGGGTGTAAGGTTGCTATCAAAGCACAAAGCAGTGGAGTGGTGGTGACACACACCTTTAATCTCGATGCTTGGGAGGCAGAGGCAGATTGCCCTCTATGAGTTCAAGGCCAGCCTAGTCTACAGAATGAGTTCCAGGACAGCTAGAGCTACATAGAGGAAGCCTGTCTGGAAAAAAAAAATTCATAGCAGCCAATGTAGCAATGGTTCTCACCAATCAAGGTATGGGGGCACAATTCAGAAGGGTTAGGTGATAGACCCCATTCTAGGAATGGAATCAGGGAAGGTCTGAGGGCCCGGGAATGAGGCTATGATGTAGCAGGTTGTGAAAGGCACAGGGAGGGATGGTGAAGAGTGTCTTACAACCCAAGGAGAAGCAGTTTGATGTTTCACTGAGCAGTACAGCACACCCGCATGCAGCACTTAGAAACTGACCCCACGGGAAAATGGAGGGGAACAGAACAAGGGCATCGGGTAGAATGATGTTTTGGAATAAAGAGAACCATCTACAGGAACCCAGCATACAGAAATGGAAATGCCAGTTGCTCTGATTTGATCTGATACATCGTATACCAGGCCTTGAATTGCCAAAGAGAACTCCATAAATATGTACAAATAGTACATGCCGATTAAAACTAAAAGATAATGCTGGAGAAAATTATGCCAAAACATGGGGAGTGGAGAGGTCTAGAATACATAGAGGTCTGAGGACTACGCAAGGGCAGATCAGGATTTGGGGCTGTGGAGAAGGACATGCCAACAAAGGAGAATGGTAAGAAGCAGCAACAAGGCAGAGGAAACACTATGACAGTGTGATGCCCTCAAGTATGGGGACTCTTGGGGCCTGTCTGTAGTTTGTCCATCTACTTTCATCATTGACAAAAACATGCCATCTAAAGAAAGTAGTAGGCTGGGCCAGGCGTTGGTGGCGCACGCCTTTAATCCCAGCACTAGGGAGGCAGAGGCAGGCGGATCTCTGTGAGTTCGAGGCCAGCCTGGTCTACAGAGTGAGTTCCAGGTCAGCCTCCAAAACAATACAGAGATACCCTGTCTCAAAAAACCAAAAAAAAAAAAAAAAAAAAAAAAAGAAAAAGAAAAAGAAAAGAAAAGAAACTAGTAGGCTGATTTTGGCTCTCAGTTTCAGGAGTTTGAATCCACTGTGGTGGCCAGAAGTAGAGGGGATGCCTTTGGTAGAAGGTTCCCTCTGTGGGATGGTACTACCCACACAAAGGTGTAATTTCCCTCCTAGTAAAAACATCCTCAAATATACACACACAAGTATACTATACCAGTTTGGCACTTCCCAGTTGAATCAAGTTGTCAATCAAGGTGAATTATTGAGAGCTGAATGCGCTGGGACAAGCCGGTAATCCCAGCACACCTGAATGAGGATGAGCCCTGGCACTTGGGATTGGTGTCACAGAAGCCACTGGGTACTGAGCAGTTTCAGTGCAACTGCAACTGAGACCGTCGCATGAAAGCCCGAGGAAGTGGAAAGAGGAAAAGAGTGGTTGATGGCTGAAAATATATGCAAATATCTCAAGTAGCTTTGCAGGTTAAAAACCAAGGCAGGAAAGTGATGGGGAGTGGGTGGTTGGAAGGAAAAGCAAGTGAAAACCGGGTTAGGTTTCATGGGGAAGAGTACAGTCATTTGTGCTGAGTGGGGGTGACCAAAGGACAGAAGGAAGGTGGACCTGGGGGAGCAAAGAGGCCTCAGCGATAAAGGGCTGCACTTTGATTGGCTTGCTGTGGGCCACCTCCTGCCTCTTCCTCCACTAAATTAAATATGTTTTGAATGAATTTCATCACTGTGATGTATAGAAATACGTATGTTAACATTGTATGTTAAAACGTTTTCTTTATCCGTATGTATATTTCATCTATTTATTTTACTTTCCAGCGATCACAAAACTTGTCAAGGACAGCTTTGCCCACCCCACGAATTGTCAAGCAGGAGGGAAGGGATGGGTTAGTGTGGAAGCTGAGAACCACCCAAGATGGAGGGCCCGGCTGCCAGTTCCAGGATCTGGAGGGTAGAGGACGTGTAGGCTTTAACGGACACTGTAACAATACGCGACACACAATTACTGACAGTAAAGCTAAGTATTTAATGTAGAAAATTACTCACAAGATACCAAACCCAGAGGAGCAGTTTTCAGTGGCTGAACCGGAAGCCGATCTCCAGGAAAAGAGACCAAGACTTCCTGTGTGCTGTCTTTTATGCCTTCCCCCCGTAACGCCCCTAGCCATGCCCAAAAGTGGGCCTGGCTAGTGACGTAGTTCCGCCTACGTACGTATACGTCTTTAGTCCTGCCTAAAGTGGGTGTGGTTAGCAGTGTGGTAAACCGCCCTTTTATTACCTCATCTGTATGCGCCTCTAATAAGTCACATGTTTAATGGCGGCATCAGACTTCCTCCTACAAGGACGGGACGTGGCTAGGTAAGTAAGCAGACTTAGGAATGGGAGTTGTGGTGGAGTGTAGAGTGGTGTGGAATTTCCGCTGCTTGTTTTTATTTCCTCAGTGAAGTCAGTCATTATCCAGGGATGATTGTGCAGGAGACGCAAAGAGAGAAGAAAGTGTTTGAAGCAGCCCCCCCAGAAATGTGGGGATGTGCGGGAATGAATGGGCTTCATAGAGTCCCACGTGCCCCCAAAGCACTTCAGGGCCCCTGGGGAGCTGCCGAGTTTCTCCAAGATTGGGCTACATTGCTGTCTAACAACAGAACAGGAGAGCCGAATTCAAGATTCTCAAATGAAATCTAAGAAGTCAGGGTGGTGCAGAAGAGATATAGGGCACTAAGGGTGTGCACAAAATGACCAGGCAATCTAAGCTGAGTAAAGACAGAAGTGAGGATGAAGGGACACTGAGATGATGGGAGGCTTGAATGTAGTTCTTGGTAGGTCCAAAGTAGCAGGAGGTAAAGTGCAGATCTGACTTAGAAAGATAGCAAGTGATGTTGTGAGAATAGGATGCTTGAAACCGAGGTAACATGGAGATGTGCACTTAACTATTCCTAAGGACGCCTACATGGACTTTGTGAATATTGTATTTGCTGTGCACAAATCAAATGGCACTTCATACTTCACATGTCCTTCAAAGGTGGTCACAAGTAAGAATTTTATATACATAAATGCATATACACACAGAGAGAGCTTCAGCGTTGGCCTATTGAGTTTTCATATAAATAGAATCATGTTAAGGATATGCCCAGACCTTCATTGTTGTTGTTTTGTTTAATTCTGGAGGTTTTTTTCATGATGGTTTATGTAGATCTATTTTTCTTTTAGATTCTTTTTTAACACAGCTTCCAATTTCCCCTTGAACTCTCTGGGGAATACTCTAGACATGTTTACAATGGTGGATGTAATGTGACACTAATGGAGTGTAGGGTCTGTGTCCCTCACCTTTACAGACCTCATCTCGTGGCTCCAGGTGGGTGAACAACACATTTGTGTGGCTTTAGTCTTTGTAAAGGTTACAAGAGAAAGATATTTCAAATGTGAAGATTAAGACTCCTTCCAGATCTCCTCCATGGCACTTTCTCAATATTGAATGCTTAAAGAAGCTATGAGTACCCAGAAATAAACATTGACTTCTAACTGAATTCTTCTGAAGAAATAGGCATTTTTGTAGCTAATTTTGCACAGCTGTTTCTTGATGGACTGCATAGTTGAATAAGTTTTGAAACCAACAAAACTAGGATCTGCCTCTCCGGGTTTAAGAACTGTCACTTAATAATCTACGTCTTCAATAATGCCTAGGTTTCAAGGTACTTCCACGTGACTTCCCCAAATGTCTATTGCTGACCCTTACAGCAAAAATCTCCTTCCTCTTCCCTTCCACGCCCTTCTCGAACTCTCCTGCCCAAAAACTAATTCTACGATGGCCAGGGATCTTTCAGTTTCCTGCATGAATGCTCTGAAAATTTAAAACAAATTTTGACTGTAGTAATTCTGTACACTTAGTACAAAGCTATTGAATCTTAAACTGATTTTTAGATGATTGTAAAAATACTCCAGTAACTTTAATTGTTTTCCAATTGTTTAGTCTGAGATATTTATTTCTATGTCTTTGCCCTTATGTGAAAACTAAGCCAGAGAGTCGTCAACTCTAAGTTTCAGATACAGGAGATAATTTAAAGATCCCTTCATCCCACAGCTTGATTTTATTGCTTTGAAAGATGAGGCATGAGACGGGAAGGATAGTGCTTGTCAAGGAAGGGGCAGTCCAATGTCAAGTGTAAGGTGAAGAGATCAAGTAAGGCAGGCCACATACTGCTGTAAATCTTAATACATTCTGTCTCACTAACTACACTAATTACTCTAATAAATTAAGGACAGTTTAGTTAAGCAATAAACAATTATGGTTGACACAGGGTATAAACTTGATGCCCTAATTAATGTACCAACCAAGAGATCTTTGTAGGCTAAGAATGTTGGTCCTAATTTACCCATAAAATATACATGTATAGCTTTATATGTAAGAGGACTGAGCATATTTAATAGTCAATAGGTGCACAGAATAAGGCATTAAAAAATAGGGATTCAGAGCCAGGCAGTAGCAATGCACACCTTAATCCCAGCACTAGGGAGGCAGAGACAAGCTGATCTCTTGTGAGTATGAAGCCAGCCTAATCTACAAAGCAAGTTCCAGGACAGCCAGAGCTAAATGGTGAAACCCTGTCCTGGGGGAAACAAAACACAACAACAAAAACAAAACAAAAAAACCACAGTCGACTGGCAGTTATGCCTGGAGGGTATGTTCCATTTTGTAAGGAGACACAGTGAGAGAATAAAAAGACTGATCTTGAGCAAGCGGATCCCAGTAAGGCTCATGCATCGCAACCTGCTTCTTCCTGCCATGTGTTCACCACAGGAGACTCTATATTTATTCTGATAGGACTGCCATTGCTTAAAACATTTTCTGAAGTGCTCTCTTGAGACTGCCTTGGAGCTGTTATGGGACACAGGAGAACAGCCTTCTTATGGCTTAAGAAAATTATGGACGTACATAAAGGTCGTTTAAAAACAACCATGGAGTCGGGTTGTAGCTCAGTGGTAGAATATTTGCCCAGCATGTGCAGACCCAGGAACTGATGATTCCTACCACCACCACCACCACCACTACCACCACCACCACCACAACAACAACAACAACAAAACAAACAGAAAACCAGAAAAACCATCTACTTATCAAGCAGCTAAGCACCCTGCAGAGACAAAGTTCTACATCTCTGAAAGAAGCAGTTGCATAAGAAGACAAATGTCAGTTTAAAGTTTCTACAGAGTTATTATAAGAATCATCAAAAGCATTTTTAAGCACATCTATGCATATGGAATTCTCCCGGAAGATAGGAAGTCTTTTAATATGAAAAATGAAATTCATTGTGTTCAGTTATTTGATAAGTCGTATGTTGGCCAATGATTTCAGGAATTCCACCTATGAAAGCATTTTATGTGCATTGGTTCATTTATCTTTACAACAACGTAAAGATATTACAAAGATAGAGAGCATTATTGTCTTAAGTCTACTTACTTAAAAATTCAGGCTCAAAAACGTAAGGGACTAGGTCCATGTTGATAAAATGAGTAAATGAGTTTGATCTGAAACCAACTCTTTCCTATTTCTCATTCTGAGCTGTTTTGATTTTAAGGATTTTCAGCTGGCTTTGCTCCAAGCACTTAGATAGCAAAGGCAGGTAGATCTAGGTGAGTTCCAGGTCAGCCTGGTCTACAGAGTGAGTGCCAGGACATGTCCCAAAGCAACACTGAGAAACCCTGTCTTGAAAAACAAAAAGAAAGAATTCTCTATCCCAGAATGACCTTTATAATGTTTTAAAAATCTGTATACAAGTTGTTGTTTTAACCTATTCTCTTAAAGACTAAAAGAAGTTTGTGAGGTGATATATAAACCTAATTTTTCTCATTGGTTTAAGATAAATCTAGTGACTCATTGGTAGAGGTGAGTCTCTGGCTTCAATGCTGAAGGCTACATCTTTCTCCTGCTCTGGTTTAGACTGTCCTTTATGGTGGATGACAGTTTCTGTGTCCTGGTGATGATTAGGCTACCCATTTGAGAGCTGTAGAGAATGAGGACCCCACAGCTCCCGCCCACAGCCTTGAAAGTACACGTGCTTGTGTAGAAGCATGGTTACTGGGCCCAGCCAAGTCTATGGCTTTTACAACCAAGACTCTGGTCTAGAACCTCAACGCTAAAGCTCTCTCAAATGCTTAGTTCTCAGAAACTGCATAGAAAGATAACTGTTGTTTCAGGCCATACATTTTGAGTCCTTTTTTTTTAAAGGTTCACCAACAAAGTTTATGGGAACTTGTACAGTCAACTCTCTTATCCATGAATTTTATATCCACAAATTCCAACAATTTCAAAAGTTTCTTCAACTTTTGTATTCAATATGTACATTTTTCTTACCATTATTCCCTAGGCAGTTCAATAAAGTAAAGCTTTTCATGTGAAGGTAGAGACTACTAAAAATATAGAAGGTGTGCTCAGATACAATGAAAACACTACATTATAATAAGAGGCTTGACCATCTGTGGGTTTTGATGTCCACAGGCATCCTGAACCCAATTCTCCATAGGCAACAACAGAAGAGTGTGTCCTGTAGCCATCTTTGGGGCTATACCTCTTATTAGTGTGTGTTATGCTCTAAATATGAAATGTCTCCCCCACGGATTCATGTGTTTGAACACTTGGTCCCCAATGGTGACAGTGTGTAAAGAGGCTGTGGAACCTTTTAGTCAGGAGGTCATAACTAGGTAGGGCAAGGGTCACTGGGTGGGGACCTTGAAGGTGATAAATGCTTCTGGACCCAGCCCAGGCTCCTAGGGCTACAAGAACTTGACAGTTGCAAGTTCCCACCACGTGGATAAGCCATCACAGTGGTCACACCTTTCCCACCAGGGTGGACCATACTCTCTGTAACTTAGCACCGAAATAAACATCTCCTTCCTTGTGACTACTTCCAGGTAGTCTGTCAGAGCAAACAGAAAAGCCAGTTCATACTGGGAAGACTCTTGAGAAGCCCTGCATCACAGAGACTAAGTGTTTCCTGTTTGTAATATAATTCCAAATTCACTTTAGGAAATACCATCTGCATCACGTGGAAGGGGGCTGGGATACTTTGAACTTTAACAATGTAAATCCCTAGCAGTTATAGTTAATTGCATGCTCATTTGGGAAAATGAGGAAAAATACCAAGAGCTACACCTCAGCTGGGCCTGCTGGACACACCTGTTATCCCTGCACTTGGGAGGTGAGGCAGAAGGATCAGGAGTTCAAGGTTATGCTCAGCTAACAAGTTTGAGACCACCTGAACACCTCAGATGCAGTAGCCAAGAAAACAAAACAAAAGAGCTAACACTACAAATCCAGTAGATGTAGATGTTTGGGTCTCTATTGGATGGAGCACAAAGCTCTTGGAGACATTAGAAGTTTTTTTTTTTTTTGGTTTTTCGAGACAGGGTTTCTCTGTATTGGAAGCTGTCCTGGAACTCGCTCTGTAGGCCAGGCTGGCCACGAACTCACAGAGATCCGCCTGCCTCTGCCTCCCTAGTGCTGGGATTAAAGGCGTGCACCACCAACACCCAGCTGACATTAGAAGTTTTAAAGCTAAGGGAAGCAGCTGTTCCTCTGGCAGCATCAGGTAAACAGGCCGGCTTTCCAGCCTGTGTCCCAGTGCCTATAGATTGCCTGGGAACTGCACAGAGCTCCCAATCCCGGCGGGAGCCAAGCACCCCAGACTCCAGATCTTCTCTCCCACCAACGAGACCAGGAAAAGAGAGGAGGCTAGGAGTCCAGGGAAGCAGCTGTTCCGGATCAGGTACAACAGGACCCAGCATAGGGTCCAGGGGACCAGGTAGGAGGCTAAGTGCCCCAGATTCCTGTTCTTCTTCTCCACCCATGGGACCAGCATTTGGACAAGGAATAGAAGAACCACCAGATTATTGGACTTGCTAGCACCCACCAAAAGGGAACCCTGGTCCCCAGACCAGTAAGGGGCTCTTTCTGCACCCACTAGAAGAAGAGATGGGAAAGAGACAATACAAAAACACAGTCAGCAACAGAAAAACAAATATGACACCGCCAGATTCTAGAGACTCCACACCAGCAAGACCCCAACATTCCAATGCGAACGAAGCAGAAGAGAACGACCTTAAAAGCACTTTCATGAAAATGATAAAGGCCCTAAAAGAGGATATAGGAAAATCCCTTAAAGAAATGGAAGAAAAAACAAACCAAAAAATGCAAGAAATGGAAGACAAAACAAACCAAAAAATGCAAGAATTGGAAGAAAAAACAAACCAAAAAAGGCAGGAAATGGAAGAAGAAATAAAGCAAAAAAGGCAAGAAATGGAAGAAAAAACAAAGCAAAAAATGCAAGAATTGGAAGAAGAAACATACCAAAAAAGGCA